TTTAAAACTTCTCTATACCGTTTAAAAACGTTGAACCTTATACAGTTTAAAAACTTTGACTTTATACCGTTTAAAAACTTCTCTATACGAATATCCTCCTTCCGAATGGGCTGTGACAAACTTAGCTATGTAGCATTGCAACGTTGAATAGTTAGAATATGCCGTGAATCACATATGTAGGTACTTTATTATGCTACTTGTGCCGCTATTAGATTAGCAATATACAATTATGTGTAAAATTGCCAGAAGTATTTGAATTTCTGTTATACCAACTCTTCCACCACACATAATCACTAAACTGGTATTCTATTTCATTCTTTAGCAAAGTTTCATGATATGTAACGAAACGTAATTTGCACAGAATCATTTTACAAATACTGTTGTATTTCATTTATGATGTTTAAACATAGTGCACCTGTTTTATAAACAGTAGCCTGAGAAAATACCCATCTAGCCATATAAAAGACACTTCTTATTGCCAAATATTAAAATCCAGGTAAAAATACCTACTCTTTTGGTCGCAGAAGCTTTGATCTCCTCTAGTTCTTCCTCTCTAGCAGAAATCTCCTTTTCAGTCTCCTGTCGTAGCTTTTCCAGCTCCTTATCCTGCTTTACTTTGGCCTGCTCCATCAGTTGCATCCGTGACGTCATGTCCTCCATTTCCTCTTGTTGATCTCTAATTTGCCATTCCAGCTGCTGCTTTGTTCTCTTCAGCTGCTCCAGCTGCTGGTAGGATAGTGTTAGTACTTGAATCACTTACATTATTGGCCATTAAACGCAAGCGTATACCGCCATCATGAATCTTTAATAGACTATTAAATTTGTAATGGCAAATGCAAATCTTTCATTAGTCCCATGAAACAAACTAACCAGTTTGTTTTGTTGTGTAGTTATGGTATTGAAAACATTCTTATAAGCAGTAAGACATTTATGTTACTAGGTAAATTAATCACTAAAATCGTATTTCTTATGTGTATTTTCTCGAAGTAGTAGAATGAAGGTTAAATATATTTGAAATTAAAGTTTGTTATCTATATTTTAGGTAGGAATGCACATTTAAAGCATTTTAATTCTTCAATAAGTATTATATTAACAAAAAATCATCTGTGTAACTTTTAAATAAAGAAACCAAAACGTGTAAAATACTAAGTGGTAAAAACCTGAAGAGCTCTTTTACATTTGCAAGTTTCTTATTCAATCTATTGAAACTGATCTAGTAAAACTCGTTTAATAAAGTAGTTTAAGTAGTTTCCTCGTTTAATAAAGTAGTTTCCCCGTTTAATAAAGTAGTTTAAGTAGTTTCCTCGTTTAATAAAGTAGTTTAAGTAGTTTCCTCGTTTAATAAAGTAGTTTCCCCGTTTAATAAAGTAGTTCCCCGTTTAATAAAGTAGTTTCCTCGTTTAATAAAGTAGTTTAAGTAGTTTCCTCGTTTAATAAAGTAGTTTAAGTAGTTTCCTCGTTTAATAAAGTAGTTTAAGTAGTTTCCTCGTTTAATAACGTAGTTTCTCCGTTTAATAAAGTAGTTTCCTCGTTTAATAAAGTAGTTTCCCCGTTTAATAAAGTAGTTTCCTCGTTTAATAAAGTAGTTTAAGTAGTTTCCTCGTTTAATAAAGTAGTTTCCTCGTTTAATAAAGTATACACCTGGAAAAAAGTTAAGCACCCCCAAATATTTTTCAGGATTGCTTATTGAAAATAAGGTTTAATTTTCATGATGTTGAGCAATGTTCATAATTTCAAACATAATTAAAAGGATGTGAGCGTTCAGGTGTGACATTTAAAT